CACTCCTGACCCTTCCAGCTGCAGTGGTATCCTCAGAGGCCTACTGACGAATGGGACCTCCCACCTCTGCCCAGAAGTACCAAGGAGTCCCTCTCTACCTTGGATGTCAACGGAGGCCAAGTGGGGAAAGCTTGATTTCTCTTCCAACCTGGCAGCAAAAATATGGTGCCATTCCTTCCCCCTGCTACAGCAGTGTCAGAGGAAGTCAGCTAAAACAGGAGGTTTATGTAAGATCCAAAGATTCACAAGATAATGCCCAAAATATCCAGGTTTCAATTGAAAGTCACTTCACATACCAAAAGCAAGACTGTCTCAACTTGAATGAAAAAAAAAAAAAAAAAATTAACAGATGATAAATTAAAGATGAGACGTTAAAATTATCTGACAAAGATTTTGAAGCAGCCATTATTAAAAAAATGTTTCAGTGAGCAGCTGCAAACATACCTGAAACAAATGAAAACATAATATGTCTCAGCAAATAAATAGAAGATATAAAAAAGAACTAAATGGAAATTTTGGAACTGAGAATCACAATAACCAAAATTTAAAACTTAAAGAATGGGCACAAAGACAGAGTGGAGGTGACAGAGGAAAGGATCAGTGAATTAGAAAAGAAAACAATAGATATTACGCAACTGGAACAAAAGAAAGAAAAATTTCTAAAAATTCTAAACAGAGCCTCAGGGATCTATGAAACAATAACAAAAGTTTAAAATCCATGTTATTGCAATCCAGGAAGGAAGGACAAAAAAGGGTAAGGCTGAGAAAGTGCTCAAGCAAATAACGGTTGAAAACTTTCCAAATCTGGCAAGCAACATATACCAAGATACATCATAATCAAACTAGAAACCATGGAGATGAGAAGGCAGTGGCAATTTTTCAAGTGCTCAAAGAACAGAACTGTCAACCGAGAATCCTCTACCCAGTGAAAATACCCCTCAGGAAGGAAATGAAAATAAAGACATTATCGGATGAAGGAAAACTCAAGAGAATTTTCACCAACAGACCTAACCAAAAAGAGCAGCTAAAGAAATGTAATAAACAAAAAGGAAAAAACAAAAGAAGGAACCTCAGAATATAAAAAAGAAAAAAGAACATAAGCAAAAATATGGGTAAATACAATATGCTTTCCTTCTTCTCTTGACTTTTCTAAATTATGTTTGATGGTTTTAACAAATTATAACAGTGTCTAATACAGTTCTAAATGTATGTAAAGTATTTAAGACACTTATTATAAATGCAGGAAGTAAAGAAAGAGGAAGTAAATGTACTAACTAAAAAGCCAGATTGGCAGTGGGTTAAAAAACATGATCTAACTATATGCTACCAAAAACTCACTTCAAATATAGTGACATAGGTAGGTCAAAGTAAAAGAATGTAAATGGCATATCCTGCAAACATTAATCAAAATAAAGCAAGAATGCTATATTAATCAGAAAAGTAGACTTCAAAGAAAATCACCAGACACAGGGAGAGGGACATTAAGGGCCTCATGATAAAAGGGTCATACCACCAAGAAGATACAGCAATCCTATAATATGTATGTACGAATAACAGATCTATAAAATATGTAAAATAAAAACCTATCGAACTGATATGAGAGTGTGAGACGTCAACAAACCTCTCTCAGGAATTGACTGAATGACTAGAGAGAAAATCAGAATATACAAGATCTCAACAACATCATCAAACTACAGGATCTAATCAACATTTATAGAACACTTGACCCAACAACAGCAGAATACACATTCTTTTTCAAGTGCCCAAGGAATACATACCAAGAAAGACTATATGCTACCCTATAAAACAAGTTCATCAACAAATTTAAAGAAATTAAAATCTTAGGAGTGTGTTCTCTGATCACAATAGAATCAAATTATAAGTCATTAACAAAGATAACAGGAAAACTCCTTAACGCTTGAAAACTAACAATATACTTACACATAATCCATGAATCAAAAGTCTCAGGGAAATTCTTTTAAAAACACATTGAACTGAAGGAAAATGAAAATACAGCCTAACAAAATTTGTGGAAACTAGCAAAAGCAGTGCTGAGAGGGGAGGCTGTAGCACTCTTGCAGCTTTCTCTTGGAAAAGAAAATCTTCCAAATCAGTAATTTAAATTCCCACCTCAAGAACCTTGAAAAAGATCCAAATAAACCCAAACAAGTAGAAATTAAGGAAATAATAAAGAGATGAAATAAATGAAATTAAAAATAGAAAAATGATTTTGGTATTACCTTGATACCAAAACCAGACAAAGATAGTACCAAAAAGAAAAACTATACAACAATATCCCTCATTAGCACCGATGCAAGAATCCTTAACAAAATATTAGCAAATAGAATTCAACAATATATAAAAAGAATTATATAGCATAACCAGAGATTTATTTCAGGAATGCAAGGATAGTTCGATATTCAAAAATCAATTAATATAATCCACCACATTAACTGGTAAAAAGAGAAATATCATATGATCATATCAATTGATTCAGGAAAAGTACTCAACAAAATTCAACATCCATTCCTGATAAAAATTTTCAGTAAGAGGAATTGAGGAAAATTTCTTCAATGTGATGAAGAGCATCTAAAAATAACGTATAGCTAACATTCTAACACTAAAATATTGAATGCCTGTTTCCTAAGATCAGGGACAACGCAAAAATATCCACTCTCATTACTCTTATTATGTAGTGCTGGTAGTTCTGCCAGTACAGTTAATCAAGGAAAGGAATAAAAGGCATATAATCCTGAAAAGAAGAAATAAAACCATCCCTATTTGCAGATGACATGATTGTCTATATGGAAAATTCCAAGGAATCTATAAAAACAATTTCTAAAATGAGTATGTGAACTTATAAGGTCATAAGTTAAACATACAAAAATCAATTATATTTTTATTTATGAGCAACGAACATATGGCCATCAAAATTAACGTTTTTATATACTAGAAGTAAACATGTAGACACCAAAATTAAAAATACAATAAATACCATTGGATTTCCCTGGCAGTCCAGTGGTTAAGACTCTGCGCTTCTAATGCAGGGGGCACGGGTTCTATCCCTGGCCGGGGAACTAAGATCCCACATGCCGCACGGCACAGCCAAAAAACTAAATAAAAATAAAAATGTAATACCATGTACAGTAGTTTTTAAAATGAAGTAATTAATTGTAAATCTAATAAAATAAAATAAAATATATAAAATATGTAAATAAAATAAAATATATCTAATAAAAATATGACCAACACACAGACATCCAACACACGGATGCTGAAAAGTACAAAATGCTGATGAAAAAAAATCAAAGATCTAAATAAATGAAGAGATACACTGTGTTCAAGAAATGGAAGACTAAACATAATAAAAATGTAAATTCTCCCCAAACTGATATACAGATTTAACACAATTCCTTTAAAAAAAATTTCCCAGCAAGATTTTTGAAGATGCAGTAGATAGAGACAAGATTAGTCTAGACTTTATACAGAAAGGCAAGCAACTAGAATAGCTAAAACAATTTTGAAAAAGAAGAATGAAATCAGTCTATCTGATTTCAAGACCTAATATATAGCTACAGTAATAATTAAGAATGCATGATATTGCTGGAGGAGCAGACACAATAGATCAATGAAACAGAATAGAGAATAGAGAACCAGAAATAGACCCATATAAATATGCCTACCTTATTTTTGACCAAGGCACAAAAGCAACTCAATAGAGGAAGGTTAGCTTTCAAACCAATGGTGCTGGAGCAACTGGACATCCATAGGTCCATCCAAAGGACCTCAAGCTAAGAAACACATCTTATACAAACATTAACTCACAATGAATCATGAACTTAAATGTCAAACACAAAACTATAAAGAGAAAAAGAGGAAAAAAAAAGTCTTCAGAATGTAGGGCTAGGTAAAGAGTTCTTGGACTTGGACTTGACACCAAAAACACAATCCATAAAAGGAAAAAGTGATAAACTGAACTCCAACAAAATTCAAAACTTTTGCTCTGCCAAAAACCCTATAAAGAAGACGAAAAGGTAAGATATAGATTCGGAAAAAATACATGCCAACCACATATCTGACAACTATTATCTAGAATACATAAAGAACTCTCAAAACACAACAGTAAAAAAACCCAAACAATCCAATTAGAAAATGAACAAAATTAATGAAAAGACATTTTACCACAGAGTATACAGTTGACCCTTAAACAACACAGGGGTTAGGGGTGCCAACCCCCTCTCCCCACCACACAATCAAAAATTGTGTGTGACTTTACTGTCGACCCTCCGTGGTTTCAACCAACCATAGATTGTGTAGTACTGTGTTAACATATTTACTGAAAAAAAATCAATGTTTCAGTGGACCTGCACAGTTCAAACCCACATTAAGAGTCAACTGTATTGATACACACACTTGCATGAATCTCCAGAGAATTATGCTGAATGAAAATAAGTCAATCTCAAAAGACTATGTACCATACAACCTTATTTCTATAACATTCCTAAAGTGACAAAATTACAAAAATGGGAAACAGATTAGCGGTTGCAAGCAATTATAAAGGGGGAGAGGGCAAGAGGGAAGTGGATGTGACAATAAGAAAGGCAACATGAGGTACCCTCGAGGTGATGGAAACGTTCTACATATTGTCTGTATATATGCTGATACTCTGGCTGTGATATTTTACCATAGTTTTGCAAAAAGTTATCACTGGGGGGAACATGAATAAAAGGTACATGGGATCTCTCCGTATAATTTTTGATAACTGCACATGAATTGACAATTATCTTGAAATTAAAAGTTTAGTTAAAAAACTATAAAGCAATAGTGATACAACAACAACAGCAAACAAAAAGCAGGTGAGAAGTGTGTACTTCTTCATGTTCTCATTCTTGGGGTAAGAGTCTCCTTGCAAGGCGTTGGACTAGGATTACCAAGTCAAATTTACTCTCACTCTACATTCCTCCTTAGCTAACATCATTCATTCTGGAGGTTTCAATTACCTTACGCCATTCTTCTCTTCAGAAGTCCAGCCAACAGATCTGCTTCTCTTGGGGCTGTCCCTGTTTCGGTAGTTGTCACTATATCATCAATGCATCAGATGTTACTGTTAATGTGTGGTTTCCTCTGTCTCACTCTCACACATCTAGTCAATCATAAAAACCATTAATTCAAGTTTCTAAATACATGGTAAATCAGTCCATTTCTTCTCATCTTCACTGCCACCTCCTGGTCTAAGCTACGACTATAACAATCTCTTGACTGACTTCTTCATCCCCATTTGTGCCTCCCTCAAAAGCATCCCTCCTGTAGGAACCAAACTAATCTTTACAAAACATAAATACAAACCCCTCACTCTCTAGCTGAAAATCTTTCAATGTTATCCACTATGCTTGCAGTAATCTCATCAAAGCACACAAGGTACCACATATTCTGGTTTCCACCACAATGATTCCACCCTTCTCGCTCTTTTCTAAAATCCAGTCATACTATTCTTCTAGTTTCTCCTAGACATCCTGCTTTTTCTCACCTCAGGGCCTCTGCATTCCCTCCCACCACTCCCAGCCCAATCTACCTAATTTTCTACTCATCGGATCTTATCTATCACTTCCTCCAAGACAGGTTTTCCTGAACCTTCAGATGAGGATAGGTCCCTTATTGAATAATGAAAGAGATACCTATACAGTACTGTACAACTTCAAATAAATCTAATTAAAGTGTTTTAATAAAAAGAATCAAATAATTCTAAGATTCATACAAAGATAATATCTAAGGTATAAATAATATATTTCAATTCACAAGTCATACATATTTGCTTTGGTGATTTATTTAGGTTAATTTAGACCTACTTGATAAAGACACTTAACATCCATTTTCTTTGGAACTTTCTAAATATGAAATACAATAGTAATAATTCTCCTAGTAAGAAGCTTTGTCATTCATAGTCAAATCTGTGACCGTGATCTCAGATTTCTAGCCTGCAGAACTGTGAGAAATAAATGTTTGTTGTTTACAAGCCACCCAGTCTGTGATACTTTGTCATAGCACCTTGAATTGACTAAGACAGAAAACTGGTACTCAAAGTGTGGTGCTGCTATAACAAATACCTAAAAATGTGAAGTGGCTTTGGAACTGACAGTAATGGGTAGAGGCTGGAAGAGTTTTGAAGTTCATGCTAGAAAAAGCCTACTTTACAGTGAACAGACCATTAAAAGCTATTCTAGTGAGGGCTCAAAAGAAGAGCTGCAGAGAAAGCCTCAGTCTTGCCTAAAGAACACCTAAGTGGCCTTGAACAGAATGTTGGTGGAAAGATGGACAGTGAAGGCCATTCTGATGAGGTCTCCGATGGAAATGAGGAACATGTTATTGGAAACTGAAGGAAAGGCAATCCTTGTTAAAAAGCAGCAAAGAACGAGGCTAAACTGCCCTCACGTCCTAGTGTTTTGTGGAAAACAGAGCTTGTGGTTCTATCTTGTGCAAGATAGAAATAGCCAACAAAACTGGCTATCTGGCTGAACCTTTTTCTAAGCAAAGTGTTGAAGGTACCATCTGGCTTCCCTCGAATGTTATAGTAAAACGTGAAGAAGAAAGAGATGACTTAAAGACAGAATTTGCAATCAAAAGGGAAGCAGAAATTTAAAATTTGGGAAACTCTCAGCTTATCCATATTACAAAAAATAAGCAAGCATGTTTGGGAAAGACCACTAAGGGTGTGGCCAAAAGACCTTTTGATGAGAAGATGAGTATGCATATGAACCAGGGGTTTAATCAGCCGCCCCAGCAAGAAAACTGCAATTTGAACTCGAGGGGAAGGAGACAGGAACAAATGAAGGTTGGCTGTCAGACTTCTTGAAATTCATAGACGGGAACCATAGAGCTATTCTGCTTCAAATGTGTGATATTCAGCACGAGGTAATTCAGAGATCATCAGGGCTTCCGGCTCAGTTTCAAAAGTGGGGAGGGCATAACCTGGCTTTCAACAGGCCAGAAGACTCCCACCCAAAGCCATGGGAGACAGACCCCTCCCCAGCAGAGCTGTGGGGAAGTGGCTATCTTCATCTAGATTTCAAGGGAAGGAGCCACTTGGAGGCACAAGACCCAAGCAGAAGGCACCACGGCAAGGGCAAGGCCACCAGAGACCTCACCAGGGCAGTGCCCAGCAGAGCTGTGAGGGTGGGGCTGCAGGTCCCTACAACTCCAAACCAGCAGAGCCACGGGTGCACCATTCCCACCCTGGAGAGAGCCTGTGGGACTGCACCCAGCAAAGCCCTGGGGGCAGGGACGCTCTAGTGTGTCCAGAAAGTGGGGCTCCTGCCTCAGTGGGCCTGGCAGGCAGAGCATCAAATTAAAGAAGATTATTCTTGAGCCTTAAGATTTGATGCTGTTTGCCCTGTTGGGTTCTGACTTGCTTAGGAACTATCACCCCCTTGTTTCCTACTTCTCCTTCTTAGAATGGGAGTGTTTAACGCTATGCCTGTACTACCATTACAATCTGGAAGCACATGATTTGTTTGATTTCACAGGTTCACAGCTAAAGGGGAATTTGTCTCAGGATGAACCATCCCTTGAGTCTTACCCATACCTGATACAGATGATATTTATTTATTTAATTTATTTTTTGCGGTACGCGGGCCTCTCACCTTTGTGGCCTCTCCCATTGCGGAGCACAGGCTCCGGACGCGCAGGCCCAGCGGCCATGGCTCACGGGCCCAGCCGCTCCGCAGCATGCGGGATCCTCCCAGACCGGGGCACGAACCCGTGTCCCCTGCATCGGCAGGTGGACTCTCAACCACTGCGCCACCAGGGAAGTCCCACAGATGATATTTAGATGAGACTTTTGAGTCAACCGTGGAACCAGTTAAGATGCTGGGACTACTGGGATGGTGTGAGTGCCTTCTGCACGTAACAAGTTCATGAATTCTGCGGGGCCAGCAGCAGGATGCTCTGGTCTAAATGCTTGTGTCCCGCTCCCGCAAATACATGTGCTGAAATCCTAATACCCAACGTGATAGTATTAGGAGGTGGAGCGTTTATAAGGTGCTTAGGTCATGAGGATGGAGTCTACATGAACGGGATTACTGCCCTTTAACTGGCCATTCTGTCATGTGAGGATACAAGAAGTCTGGGATCCAGAAGAGGGCCTTCACCTGGCCAGGCTGACACCCTGATCTCAGGCTTCCAACCTCCAGGACTATGAGAAATAAATGTTTTTTTGTTTATAAGCCACCCAGTCTGTGGTAGTGTGTTATAGCCACCTGAACAGACTAAGACAGACTTACTCATTATGAATAATTTAGCAACCAGTGCACTATTTTCTGGCAATTTTTCTTTGCCATTTTATGGGCTTTAAGGGCAACTTCATACATACATACACACACACACACACACACACACACACACACACACTTTGTTAGAGTTGTTAAGTTTACTGTGTAAAAAGCAACACGTGCTTTGTAAATAAATACTAAAAATTGAACTTAAAGTTTAGGTTTCTTTCTGAAGTATTCTTTCTAAAGTTTGATAAGTTCGACTTAGTTTCTTAATTGTAAAAACAACAACACCAGAAAAAAACATAGGAAAATGACTGTTGGGATGTGCCATGTAAAAAGAAATTTGTTTGAAGCTTTAGAAAATATGTCTATATGCACTTTTTGAATAGTACCTTAGAGAGGTTAGGGCTTTAGATCTTTACATTTTAAAATTCTACAAGTACTGAATCTGTATTTCCCAATTTCATGTTTATTTTCCAATACCCCATGTTGACTTAAAATTACATATGGACACTTGGTACTGAGTACTACTCTAGAATTAACTAATTCCACTAGTAATCATACCTTCTTCTATTTGTCATATTACAGTTTTCAACTGTGCTTCTGTATAGGTCATGTACACATAGTTCATAGTTCTGTATACATTTATATGTTCATTTCCTGTTAAATACATCTAGTTAAAAGCATCATCATGAAGCATAAAAATAATGAATGGGTCATGAGAATGGATTTCAGAATATAAGATAAGAGTAGCCATGTAAAAATACAACCACTATGTTTTTTTTTTTTTTTTTGCTGTACGCGGGCCTCTCACTGCTGTGGCCTCTCCCGTTGCGGAGCACAGGCTCCGGACGCGCAGGCCCAGCGGCCATGGCCCACGGGTCCAGCCACTCCGCGGCATGTGGGATTCTCCCAGACCGGGGCACGAACCTGCGTCCCCTGCATCGGCAGGCGGACTCTCAACCACTGCGCCACCAGGGAAGCCCCAACCACTATTAATTGATGTAAAATATGCTTACAAAATAGGAAATAGAACTTGAGACTACTGGGTTTTGCAAAAGAAGCAAGGAATACTCTAAAAGTGCAGCTTCACAGGGTATTAGTGTTTATATTTTACCAGCCTCAGGTTAATAAAACTGGGCTGTTTCCAAACTGTGAAGGAGGACATACACTCAAACCTGTATTAACCAAAAAGCTGGAGGAGTAGCTTCGTTTGACTGACTAAATTTACTTATAAGGCCTTTTTGTTTCAACTACTGCTATTGAAAAACTTTCTAAAATGTATTAAGGAATACTTTCTTGCTTTAGTAAGTACCCTATAGTGAATATAATTAAATCACCAGTGACTGACTGCAAGTCTTATACATTAGGGTCAGCCTTGTGAGCATCAGTATTCATTGGACCCTAATGAAGATGTGCACATTCAGGCTAAATGTATACAGACTGGCCCTAGGCTATTCATTCTTTGGGAGCTCGTCTTTTTTTTAAAAAAAAAAAACTGAATTGTTTAAAATCAATATTTCAAAGGGGAGGAAAGGAGCTTATTTTCTTGTAAGTCAAAAACCAGCAAAAATAAACCTGGTTATCTGAGCTTTTACTATATCACTGGAGCTTTCCTAAAGTAATAGGTACTCTTGAAAAATCTGTTCCATTTCAACACTTTTAAGGAAATAAATGCCCAAGGGCAAAGCTGGGGGAAAAGAAAGGTAAAATCCAATTCCTATATAGAGAAGAAAACAATATTGAAGAAAGCTGCGCAATATCCAGGTATTTACTATGTACTAAGTATGCTTAGGTACTAAGTACTCTGC